TTGCTGCTTTAACGTAAACAGAAACGCATCCAACCTTTCTTTTTATTGAATGAAAAATCAATTTTAGCTAAATGTAGACTAAAAATCGTGTCATCCTTTTTATCTACATTTTCAAACACATGCTGCTGTTTTTGGTTTAATAGTAAACAGAGGTTGTTTCCTTCATGTTTCCTCAGCTCACACAGATTTCCTCAATTGAATCACAGCAGTTTATGGCCCAGAATCAGTTTTCAATACTCATGTGGAGAAAAATCAGCAGCCGGTCAATCAGGACAGTAGAACCATCACCAGATTTGGACATTTTCTAATCTTAGCATCTAGGGGTGACGTCACTGCTCTGACATCACTGATTTTCTGAATGATGATTACAGGAGATGGAGGATGAGGGCCAATTGGACAGAACTCCAGATCCAATGCCCCCTGGTGGTTATAAAAAAAAAGCTTTATATTGTGGTGTTTTAAAATCAATTTGGTTCACTTAAGTCGGATTATTACAGAACATATTTTTCCTTTAAAAATTGATGTAAACACCAGATAATCCCATGTGACTGCCTCTATCCTGTCTGTTTTTCTTTGGTCCAAACAGCCATGAAAGCAGGTGCAAAAACCAGATCCAGACACTGTCATCTGTTATGGTCAGCAGCAGTGTTCAGATAAATACCCCCTCTGGGGTATTTTCTTTCATTATTATTTTAATGGAAGCAGGAACTTCCATTACCAAGCCAAATGATTTAGATTGTGGCTTAATATTCAATCACGTTCGACCCATCACCTCGACATCCAAAACCGTGCAGGATTAATGGATTCCTTAATAAAGCATCTGTGCATAGATGCTCCTGCTGTCGGTTACTAAAGGTCACTGGTGTCCAAACTGAACCCGATCCTTCTTTTCTACAAATATCAGCTGCTGTCCTCACCTTCAGTTTATCTGTGATTTAATTTCCATTATTGTGTAATAAAAATCAAGCCTTTGTTTTGGGGAAGATTGAACTTAACAGGAATACAAAAATAATCAAATGAAGGTTTCCTTAATGAAATCATCAGAATGAATGAGGATCAAAATGAAAATGTCAGAACCATCTGTCAGTAGAAAGCATCAACGCTTCAATTCTGTCTTCATGCTGCAATAAACCTCAGCAATCACTCTCCTACTGGCACATATCTGATGTCTGTCCTCCTTAGAGCTAAATTCTTGTTTGCTAAACCAATAAATCTTTATGGGAATGATCTGTGGAGTTTTTTATTTGACTGCTGACACTGGAGGTGATATAAGGGGCTGGCTATTTTTAGCTGCAAAACAAATCCAGATAAAGCAGCTTTATGGACGTTCATGTCAAACGTAGAAGTTTGGGGCAGATTAACAATAACTGGATAAGAACCACATTTTACTGAAACTGACTTTTCTTTGTTTCCCGTGTTACACCCCGACTATTTATTTGAAAGTGACAAAAAGGCAATTCAAAATTGTGCATCATTGCAGAACAAAGAAAAGAGAAAACAAGAGGTGTAATAATCATAATCTGTTCAGCCTCCTTTACTGGGATGCTCAGTAGTAGACAGGTGTGGTGGTTGTGTATGAATAAGAGGAAGTATTCACTGCATTGTGGAGAGGATTAAATCCAGTTTGGTTTATAAAAAACCTCATTAGTTTTGAGCATCTTGAAGAGCTCTTTTAAGTCCATCTAAAGTAGGATATGAAACAACAATCCTAGCAAGATTTCACCATCTGGGTAAATGGAAAGTCTTTCACCTGCAGTCCATTTCACAAAGCAGGTTTACCAACCTCAGATTCAAATCCACTTCTCTAAATCGATCGAGCCTAAAGTTGGGAACTGAGTTTTCGGTTCTACAAAGGCTCCAATGAATTAGTTTAATCAACTCTAAGTAGAACCACTCAAGAGTTTAGCACGTGCGTAACAAGTATGAAAAGCCATTATCAGTGGAGCCCTGATTCGAGGAAGTGCCTATTTCACCCTGGAACTAGACATTTTAATGCAGAAATTTAAAACATATACCTATTTCACCCCACTGGAACTAGAGTTTTAATGTAGAAATGAAAAAACAAAAAGTATTTTTAAAAGACAGAGAAACAGCGCTACAGCCGCAAAGGATAAGGAAGGTGGCGAAGGAGAAGATTGTCGCTCAATTTAATGCATAAGTTTATATGAAGTGGGCTATGGCAGGCCGTATTTACATTTATTAAAAGCATTCTATCCTTTTTTCCATTTGTAGATCACTAAAATAAGATTCTTTTATATTCTATATACATATATATGTATATTCTTCTGTAATATATTTTCTAAATTACATTTTTTTGTAGCAGAATATGAATTTCAGAAAGTAAAAAAAATAACTAGTAAGAATTAAACCTTTTAAATAGCTGTTTTTAAAAATTCCTCAGCGTGACTGAATATGTATTTATGATACCTGAAATACATTTCTTTATAGTCAAAATAATACAAACGTTCTAAAAGGTAGGACCTGTGCATCATCATGGGGTTCCTCCTCAGTTTAATACTGTCTTCCATCAGGCAGTAAATACCAAGTGGCTGCTTGCAGCTGCTTTGGATGTGATCCCAATAAATAGTTATTAGCGGTTATCAGTCCCATAGAATGGCTTCATATTGTCCCAGAATACTAACCCAATGGTAATTCCTTTTCCCTCTGAGGATTATTCTATTTATGTGTAATCTGAAAATAAATTCAGTAGTTCATGTACTGTAAAAACAAAATTATCTGCATCTCACTCATATTAAACCAACAACAAATAAATCTCACATCCTGTCAGTTGAGTTGTAGAATCATCTCTTTAATTCACTCTGAATTAATGCAGATTATTCTTTAATAAGATCATTTTCAAACAGAAATGCAATGTTTGTTTTTAAAACCTAATGGGGCTAGTGAAGGATTTTTATTTTTCCACAAAACTATGACAAAGATCTCCTGGCTAAATTAGGAAACAAGGAACGTGATTGGCTTTATGGCGAGCGGAGACAGAGGACCCTGAGTTTACTGAGGAAAACCTGCTCCCAACCAGGTAAGCTCTGGGGAGAATGTTACTACAGTGACTGAATCAGAGATTGAATAAACTTTCTTTGTGAAATGGAAAACTCAGAGTTTACCATATTTAAGGTTTAGAAAACCTGCTTCTTAAAATGGACCCCTAATCTGTAACTGTAATATCAGCAACAAAAGGGTTCTTGAAATTAGGACACTTTCAGCACTTTAATCAAAAAACTTTAAAGTTACTAAAGTTTGTGCAATCACACTTTGCAAAACATTTCAAGGGATATTGATTTGCCACTGAAAAATTTGAACAGAAATGAGTGAAAGTGTAATTAGAGCAGAAATACTTTTGTCGACACAGTAGGGAGATTCATGTGTGATGGTGTTAAGACTTAACTGTATTCGTGGCAATATATGAAAATAAACAGGAGCTAACACTTATATTAAAATGACAGAAATAACCTCAAAGTTTGCTGAATTGATGACATGAAACTGGTGTTGATATAAAGCAAATATTGAGCAATTCTAGCTCCCAGGTTAATAAAATAAGCATAGCCCTAATTTTGTTATACCCCCCAATAAGTTGCAAATAGTAGAAAACCACTAAGACAATAAACAAAACAAAGAAGCAAAAAAATCATTAGATTCCAACCTTTTGGATTTTTTTTTTAAAGCCTTAATTTTACTTTGATAAATTATCTCTGCTTTGTTTTTATGCAAACAGCCTCACTGCAGGGCAGGTTCTTAGTCAGCTTTGATTTTATGACTTTTTGGGCAATCAAATTAGAGCTGAAAATGTCCCGTTACCAACCCATATATTATGCTGTCCAACGTTTTAAACCTGTTTATTTGTTTTATAAAAAACAAATAAAATTCCTTTATTAAAAGCACCACAGGGGGCTGGGTATATTAAAAAGAAAACCTTTATTACAGCATTTGACAAATCTAACATTCAAAATAAGCTACAAAAAGTCCATGAAATAAACAGGAGTTACAGTTTAGTCTAAAAGGCCTCATAGCATGGCGTTAGTTAGGAGAGGGTGACCGGCTGAAGCTTCTCCTGCTCAAACCGCCGCTGTGAGATCCTCATCTGTTGGCGGATTTAACAAGAAACAAACATCTGTCCGCCCAAAGCTGCCTGTGACCGACTTTTCATGGAACAGGGGTAATCTTTAGGCCAGATCTGGTACCAAAAATACTTTTTGAAAGAACTCTACAGATGCAAAATTACTCTGGACAGCTCTGGTTTCAGAAAAATTGATCAGGTTGTTGAGCTTCTTAACAAATGACTTTAAATACCAGCTGAATTGTACAGAAAGAAGACAGTATATCTATACAAATGCACATTTTAGGGTTACTGTATCTGTATCCACCAATGGTAACTGGAGCATGAAGGAATAAAGATTGGACAAATTACCCAGAATCAAACTGGTTTCTGTTGAAACTCTACCTCTGATACATGGTAAACATGCTGCTGTATTATTTGATGTCAGTGGGAGCTGTCTAGCGCTGATATCAAAGGGTTTTTATCTTTAAACGTTGTGTGTTTATGCCAAACATTTTCATCCCCCGCAAGGACACAGTGAAAGAAACTGAACTTGTACTCCATCTATTCTACTGGTGTCCAAAGTTTGTCCTCATGGGACCCGGTGTCCTAGATGACTGTTTGCTTCAACAGACCCGAATCAAATCAGTGGTTCTTTACTTAATAAGCTACCGAGGGCAAATGCAATTAAGGCATTTGAATCGATCGTTTCCAGTAGGGCTGCAACAAACGATCATTTTGCAAATCATTTAATCCGTGAAATTTAATTTATCGATTAATAAACGGATAGCAAAAGATTCCTTAAAGACCTTTTACAAAAATTAAACCAGGTGAAACTCAAACTTTTCCACTTGTGGAGGTCTGGATAGAGCATATTGACAGACAAAAAAGTTTTTATTTTTATCTTAAACGCAAAACTTTATTTTTTATTTTTTTACAAATTTTGTATAATTACTGCTCTAAGTGGGTCACTCTGTCAGCTAAAATCATGTGTTAGATTCTCTATGCTCCAGTTAATGATTAAATTAGTTGACGATTATTTCAAAAATTGATTCATAACGATTAACTCGATTGTTTCAGCCCTAGTTTCCAGGCAGAGGCACATCTAAAACAGGCAGGACGTTGGCCCTTCAGGACTGGAGATTGATGCTTTGTTGGGAGGGAGAGATACAGAAAGGTCAAAACCCTTCAACAATATCAGCACAAACACTTGAAACTTTCACGACAATTAATATAGAAGATAATCATTCAGTTTTGAACCCACTGCTAAACCATCAAGGAGCCCAATCTGATCTGTCGGATGGGTTGGTGCTGTTCTAATTAAACCTGCCATCAATTGTGATTCAGTAGCTTTAGATCAATGAAGACAATTATGTTTGTTTTGAGTTTATTTTATTTAACATTTTCTAAGACTCAGGTCTCTTTCTTAATTTTCTTTTAATAGATCCACGGCAAAAGTAAATGAGACTGATGCTACTTAAGGACCTGCAGGACAGTATGACTCACTGCAGACATTTTAAAGAAACTAGAAATCAACAGGATGTAGTGATGTGTCTAAAAAGGGCAACAGTATCTTAAAGATGTGAAGTTTATGCAGTGAAACACTGAATAACTGCACCACTGCTCTACAAAAGACGGTTTAAAATCTCACTCAGCTCGCCTCCATCCCTGCACCCCCCCTCAGTCAGTTTGTGGGTTTAACTGTGGGAAAGTTTACTGGCTGCCTCCCTCTTCCTCCTCCAGTTCCACCAGGGCGGCGTGCCGGCTGGCCTGAGAGCCCTCGCTGAAGAAAACCTTTTTAATCACGCCTGATTTTGGCGCCCGGATCGTGTGCTGAACAGACAGAAGCACAGACGTTAAACAGCCTGTCTGACGGGGGAAGTGAGACTTTTATTTGCGTGTGTGAGAAACAGTCACCTCCATCTTCATGGCTATCATGACCATCAGAGGGTCTCCAGCGCTCACTTTATCTCCAGCCTTCACCAGCACCTGAACACAAACGGACATGGTTCAACATGACGACGCAAAGTGATGCATAGAAATTAGTTTTCAGATGTTTCTTCTGTTATTATTACTGCAGCCACAAATCTCTGAGGGAGCACTTTCCTGGATGTAAACTGTTTTATACTCAGATGTTTATATTTTTAGAAAATAATAAAGACAAAGGTGAGAACTCTGCTGAGTCACAGTTCACATAAGAGCCAGCTAACACTTTAATATCTACATTACAGTGCAGGGAAATAAAAATCAATCCCCTTCAGACATTATCCAGAGATGTTGTGTCGCAGACATCGTTAGATCCAAACCTGCCACGGTTCTTCTAAATAACTTGAGGCTAGTGTTTAAGATTCTAAAACTGGTGATTTTGGTGATTTTCAAAACAAACATGATGATAATAAAAATAATTGGAGACTCTCACTCTCAGAGCCACACTGAGAGCACAACACATCTCAAGGACAGATTTAATTAAAGAAAATTCTGATTTTAGGGACAAAACTTCTCGAGATCAAATGTGGGTTTAGAGTAAATAAACATGGCCGAAAAAGAAGATGCAGCAGAGAATCTTGTCAAATAGAGAGAGAACCTTTACAGTAATTAAATGTGTTGGTTAAATGAGTGCAGACAGAGTGAGCAGGCGCTCTTCCTGCCCTAATGACGAGTTGAATTTTGAATACGTTCAATCAAATTCACCTTCTCTATGGTTCCAGTCATGGGGGCAACGGCTCCTCCCTGGGCCCCTGACCCGCTCACACCAGCCAGATACTTCGGCACAGGAACAGAAACCTGGGTGCTTCCTTCCTGCACAACAGATGGAAAGATTAAACGGATCCAATCTGGTCCTAAAGATCCTGAATAATTAAATGACAGGTAATAAACAACTATTTTAATATGTAAAGCTTATATTTAAGTGTTTGTTTTAGGATTTATAACAGACTTTTGAACAAGTTTTAGGTGCTGGTTTCAAGACACTTTTGAAGCCATTTAGACATGAAACGTACCAACATCAAACCAGGATAGTAAGATAACTAACAATAAAAGATTAAAATGTTACCATAAAAAAGTCTGATCAATGTGCAAAAAGGTGATAAAAAATAAAGTTTGTGTAACTTTCCGAGTCAGCAGCAGTAGTGAGAAAGTACCATGGAGAACAGGTGAACTGTGTCTTCCAGGATCACCAGTTTGGGACGAGACTTCACTCCATTTACTGAGCAGTGCAGAAACGAAGCCCCGCCCTCCAGCTCAATGGCCCCGGTCACATGGTACACCTCCTCTCCCACCTGAAAGAAGAGCCCGGATGTTCAGACTGCAGAGTAGTGGCATTCAGAACAGTACTTTTCCATACATTTTTTTGTTTTGCGTTAAACTTAAAATCTGTCTGCATGCAAAAATAACACAAGAACACTTTCTTCTTCTTCTTCTTGTACTCTTCCATCAAACTTTCTAGTCTTAATTAATTTTTCCCCAACAAATTTCCCTCTTTCAACGTTTACAGTTTTCTCAAAGTTTGATGAAAAAAAATGCAAAACAACAGACAGGATGTTGGAGCCGCAGCTTATCTACAGCTAAGAGGAGGGGAGATCATCAGGAAGGCTGTTACTGCACCAGGATGCCCCCCTCAACACGGGGCAGGTGGTGGGAAACAGGACTGGCAAAAATAATGTTAAACAATATCTTGCACCCAATGAATGACAGATTGCTGCATCCTCGGTGCACAAGGAGCAGTATCACACATCCTTCCTCCCAGGAGCTGTTAAGGTGCATTCAGACCGATCGTGTACGCAGGGATTTCGGTGAACCCCGCAGGTAGTTCACCGTTCTGCACTCCAGGTGCTCAGTGTTTAAACCCAGGACCGCATCATCAAATGGGAGGAGCTTCCGATGCGTGAAGCTGACGCCCCACCCACGTGAAAAAACTCAGCAAATAGATGCAATGGTTAATGATTCATTAGTACAGTATTTAAAATAGTCATTTTTAAAAAACGAAAAAAATATATATATAATCTGTGCTAATGTTGTTTCAGAGATATTAAAGATCAGCTTTACATCATCCAGACTTAAACTATTCCTCCATTAATCTCCAAAATGAATTAACGTATCTACTTTTCAGTGCTGATTTATTTGTGCAGGTAAAACTGTTTGTCCTGATTTGGGTTTTTTATTTTTTATTTTTTTTTTAAGTTTTCACAGCTTTATATAAACATCAACAAAAACAAACAAACAAATAAACAAACAAACAAAAAAAACCCCACCCCAAATCAACAAGGAGCACTGCAGTGTTCACATAAAAGAGAGAGGAAAAAAAAAAAAAAACATACATACATAAAGCCCACATACACAAAATACAAACAGACATGGTTCAAAGTAGTCCACACTGTCGGACAGCCAAATGTGTGATATATTGAATAAGAGAAATAGAAGAGAGAAAAAAACAAAACAAAAAAAACTAAATTTACAGTTTCTGTAAAAAAGATTACACCGGGTCCCATATCCTCCGGAATTTGTCCGACTTTTGATGAAGGTCACAAGTCAGTTTTTCAACTGCGACAATAGCAGACATTTGTGATAACCACATATCGACTGTAGGGGCTAGTAATGCTGACCACCTCAGTAGTATACATTTCTTAGCCAGAAATAAGAGAATTACAAGCAAATGTTTGGTATCTGCATTAAAGAAAATCCCTGAAGTGTGATTAAAAAGACAGAAGGAGGAAGTTAGTGAGAACTGTTTACCAATAATCTCTTGTATCACCAGATGAACTGCCTTCCAGAAGATTTGAATATAGTCGCAAGACCAAAATAAATGAATAAATGTGCCCTTATGTATTCTGCATTTATGACAGAGATCTAAAGCATCAGGAAACATTTTCCGAAGGCGAACAGGTGTATAATATGTTCGATAAAAGAATTTAAAGTTCTGCTCATGTATAGAAAGCGAAGTGCAATTAGGGAAAACCCCATCAGCTGATTTGGGTTTTAAGACTTTATCAAAATAAGTCGCATCCCAGCAGATGTTAGCACTGCAAAGTTTCAGATTATACAGTCCTAGCATAACATAACATGTCATTCCTGAAGCCCAAGGCACTCCCAGGCCAACTGAGAGACATGGTTCATCCAGCGTGTCCTCTGTCTTCCACCTTGCTTAGCTCTCTCTTCACAATGAAAAACGTGTGCAGCATCCGCATTATGGCAGCAGCCAATCTGATCTGTCTATCGATCTCCCACTCCATTTTCTCCTCACTGGTCAACAGGATCGCAAGATACTTTAACTTCTCCACTTGAGGCAGTAACTCTCCTACAACCTGAAGGTCGTGTCCCATGTGGAAGAAGCCGGCCACCAGGAGCTCACCGACAAACTCCAACCCCAGTCCTGGCTCCAGGGAGAAGTCCTGGCTCTGCCATGCTTGTTAGCGTCACACGACTCAATTCTTTTTGTTCATCATGGGGACTTTCTGAACTGCTCTTTGTCTCATTTTTGATGTGATTAAACTCAAAAGGACAGAAATCATACAAGTCAAACATCAAAACATAGATCACTAACTTTGATTTTTATCTAAATGTAAACATTTTTTGTCCAAAAAAAAAACTTCCACTTTATTATAAATAAATAAAATCATTCAGGCTGAACTACCTCCTCAGCTCACAATTAAATTCTACAGAAGCCTAGATTATTTGATTCAGGTGTTATTTGATTATTATTTGATTCAGGTTTAAGTAGAGGCTGATCTAACGGGGGCAGGACACCGGACATTTTTGCATTAAGATAAAACAGATGTAGTTTGATCTTTTTATGTTAAGGAAAAGTTTACAAAGAACAATGTTATTTAGAAGTTTGAAACAAACACCTGAATAAAAAAAATTTCAAACCTCAATAACTTAGCAAACCTTTAATAAACAAAAGTTTGATAACTTTTAATACAATTATTTTCAGTCTTTTTGGCATGAAAAGAGCGGCCATGAAATTTTAAGGCTGTGAATGTTAATTAAAAGAAAAAACTAAGACTTTAAAGCCATTTTACTTAAAGTGATTCCCAGCTTACCTGCATCCTGTAGCTGCCGTCTGAGTTATATGTGATGACAACATCAACCTCTGGAAATAAACAAGAAAACAATGTTTAGCAACTAAAGATGACAATAGAAACATTGGCCTTCCTCACACAACAGGACTTCCTTCAGAACAGCACAGAATTTTTAACAGGAAGACTAAATAATGGATGAATCCTGATGGATCATTAACACTGATACATTTTTGATGTGATTAAACTCAGAAGGACACAAATCATACAGAACAGCTCTCAGAAACATACATGTAGTCTGCTCTGTTTAAACCAAACTATAAATCTTATCAGTCACCTCCATTAAGGCATGCATACCTTCTGGGTTTTTAATAGAAAGGTGACTGGTTTTTTTTTTTTTTTTTTTGAGAAAACATTGCAAAGGGAATAACTTGATCTTAGAAACTGCTAAACTACAGTATTTTCCAGACTATACCTTGCACCTCACTATAAGCTGCAGCCAGCCACTATGTATTTTTATTTTTTTTTAAACTGGAAACATACATATTTAAGCTGCAACCTGCTACTGAACTGCCACCCACCAAATCTTTAGGTGGAGCTCTACATATCACCCCTAGATCAGGGATGAAAAAGAATGCTAGCTCCTGTTAGCTTGTCAGTTCGCAGCAGTAAGAGCTTCTAATGAAAGATGGGGCTTCATCATCTCTATTTCAACTCTGCAGGAACTGACCCCCTCTTCATTGGTTCTTTAATGCAGCCAATAAATGTCAAATTGAGTGAATGCGGGGCATTTGTTTTCTTTCATGCCTGCTGTTAGCAAGTGCTTGTGCTAAATTATAATTAGCCCCTTCTTTTTTGATTTACAACTTTGACCTCCGCCTCCTGGTGGTTAGGGAAAATCCACAGAAAATCTGCATCTTCCTATAAGCCGCACAATTAAAGCGTGGGGAAAAAGTAGTGGCTTATAACCTGGAAAGTACTGTGATAATGTGAAAAAAAGCTATTTGTTCATGCAAAAATATAAAAACAATGATAAACGTGCATGCCTTCATTTTCATTCTATTTTTAAAAAAAAAAAAGTGACCTTTAAAAAGGGACAAAAATCCGCCCAAAACTACATTGATATCACCTACTTTTGTCTCCCAGCTGTAAGGTCATATTTCTGTTAAACTGAATGTTGTTTCTCCAGCCGCTGCTGGAACCGAACGGAGAGAAAGGATCTGGAAAACAAAAACAAAAATCAGTTTTTCAGCCTGTTTCTCTCTTTACATCCTAAGGATCCTGCTCACCTGTGGAGGACTGGGTGAAGCTCTCTGTGTGTTTTCTCTCCTGCAGCAGCAGGCCCAGGGCAGCCTGGCAGATCGTTTCCCCAGATGGCGCTCTCGGGGTGGGAAAGAGATCTGCGTAGTACTGAGGGATAAAGCTGGTGCTCACGCGTCCCGCCTCAAACTCTGGGTGACCGGAGAGGCTCAGCAGGAAGTCTATGTTGGTGTTTAATCCCACGATCTGAGGAGAAATCAACCAGGCGGGGGATGGTGAGCAAGAAGAAGCTAGAAGGTCATGCTGAATGGATACAAACACAGCAGGTCCTACATTATATTGTCGTAAACAGTATCGTAGCTTCTTTAAGGCAGCAGATCGGTCCTCTCCCCAAACCACAAGCTTGGCAATCATTGGGTCATAATGAGCAGAAACCTCGTCCCCTAAAACCAAACAAACAAAGCTTTCATTTTCCCAAACAACCCATCTTGTTGTGACATTTGGAAATGTGCTGAATGCTCAGAAAGGTCAAAGCCTTCAGTTCCCACCTTCTCTGACCCCGGTCTCTATGCGAGTGTGCTGGTCTGCTGCAGGCGTGGACAGATGCAGCAGGGGCCCCGCTCCTGGAAGGAAGTCGTTATTTGGGTCCTCGGCATAGATGCGAGCTTCAAAAGAGTGGCCCCTTAAGGTTATATCATCCTGGAGGAGGGGCAGACGCTCCCCTGCTGCCACCTGAAAGAGATTTTTTCTTTTAAATATCTTTCTGCATAACCTCTAATGGGACAAAGATCTTTCCTCCACCTCACCCTGAGCTGCCACTCCACCAGGTCAGTCCCGGTGATCATCTCACTGACGGGATGCTCCACCTGCAGCCTGGTGTTCATCTCCATGAAGAAGAAGTTGTGCTGTGCATCCATTATAAACTCCACCGTTCCTACAGGAAGATAAATAACAGATATATCGAATCTGTTCTGCGTTCAGCGGCGAGGCCAGTCTGTGGATATTTACCTGCTCCCACGTAGTTCACAGCCTTAGCTGCTCTGACTGCCGCCTCTCCCAGTTTCCTCCGAACTTCAGGGCTGATTCCAGGCTGGAAAAATATTCATTCAGAACCAACATCATATGGTCACTTCATACCACATTATATGGTGGGAAATTCAACACTATTAATATTTACTGCCATTACTATTTGGAAATTTGCCCAATTTTAAATTATTAAAAAGTATGAATACAAATGTTTATGAGTCATATTTTCCACAAATATCTGCCATTCTTTACAAATGGGAAATTAGATCATCTAAAATCTGCTTCTTTAATAAAAACATAACATTTCATTACAATATTAATACTCAGTGATACTCCAGACCAGGGAGAAGGAGGCAGGATCTAACCGATTGCTGAGGTCTTTTATTCTCTTAGCTTTTTAAATTTTAAATCATTTCTGATAATTGTGCTCCCTGAGGTTCTGATATTATTCTGTAATTTTGTTTTATTGTCTCTTTGTGCTGTAAAGGAATTACCCCTAGGAGAAAAAGTATTTCTAATCTATCCGTCGAAGATAATTCCTGTTTTTTAGCTCTTACATCCTGCTTCATCACTCTGTCTGAATAAATAAATAAATACATAACTTACTCCAGGTGCCTCCTCGATTATTTTCTGATGTCTCCTTTGGACGCTGCAGTCCCTCTCAAAAAGATAGACAGCGTTTCCATGCATGTCCCCGAACACCTGGACTTCTACATGTCTGCAAAGGGCAGCCAAAGCACAGATTTTAAAATAAAAACTTAAGAACATTAATTTCAAGAAGTGTATTGCAAAAAAGAAAAAAAGCGTTTTCCCTACCTGGGATCCTCAACAAACTTTTCCACCAACATCACATCATCATTGAAGGACTTCCTGGCTTCTCGTCTTGCCGACTCCAGCTGCTCCAAGAAGTCGGAGTCTGACCGAGCGATACGCATTCCCTAAAATACACGGCCGTGTTTTCAGCCTGCAGCAGTAAAAACCCAAGAATCAAACCGTTTCCCCTTTTACCTTCCCCCCTCCTCCCCGGACCGCCTTGATCATGACAGGGTATCCAATCCGGGCTGCCTCTGCTTGCAGCCTTTCATCGGACTGGTCCTCTCCATGGTAACCTCCAATGATTGGCACCCCAGCAGCAGCCATGATGTGTTTGGATGTGCTGTAAAGGAAAATATGTTCATTCAAAGGCCAAAATGTCAAAAAAATAAATATATAACTACAGAAAAAGTGGAGATGAATCACCTCTTGATGCCCATGTCTCTGATGGCAGAGGAAGGAGGCCCAATGAAGATGATTCCTTCCTGTTTGCACGCCTCTGCAAACTCTGTGTTTTCAGACAGAAAGCCATAGCCTGGATGAACTGCCTGAGAACAAAAACAGCTGGTTTAGCCAAATAATTTAAAAAGATTATAAAAAATAATAATAAAATCTTCATTAGTTTTACTCACATGTGATCCGGATCTTTTGGCCACTTCCAAAACTTTCTCCATAGAGAGGTAACTCTGTTGGGAAGGTGGAGGCCCGATGTGGTAGGCTTCATCTGCCTGCAAAAATGCAAAGTTTAGAGCTGATAGAGAAAATAAACCTGAGATATATGAGAATATATCTGATCTAAGACTCTCACCATGGCCACATGCATGGAGTGTCTGTCTGCATCGCTGTACACGGCCACAGAACGCACACCCATCTTCTTAGCTGTTCGCATCACACGGCACGCAATCTCTCCTCGGTTGGCAATCAGCACCTTTTCGATCCTTCCCACCTCTGCTTGGACAAAACACTAAAACCTTCAGCTTCCTTTAGATTACCCAGGTGAAAGACTTTCTTAAAATTATCTCATTCACATTCAGCTAAATTAAATGTCAACATAAATAATCTAATAATCAATTGGAATAAAATAATAATGGATGGATAATGGATTTCCTACCCACAATCCACATAATCACGTTTTACTGACATTTTGATCCAAAATATACACTAATCATTATAGGATTATTAATTTTAAATATGTGGATGTCTGCATATTATTAAGACTCAGCAGTAATTCATATGGACAAAAGAGAATTACATAAAGTTGCAAAAGTGACACAATAGGAGAAATGTAAATACAAAAAATAAAATATTCCTATATCACATTAATGTGTTTAGCATCATAAATAGGAGAAATCTATAAAAAAAAAAAATCTGACTAAAATCCACAAAAATAAACAAAACCATACCCCACAACATATCTAATACCAAACATATTAAATACCAAAAATTAAAACAACTGTTTAAAGGAGCATAAAATGTCCCACCCAACAGTGCAGACAAATTTCAAATAGGCAGTGTTGCAATTTTACAGTGTATTTTATTAAAGAAATATTTAAGTTTTGTATTCAAGTATTCTTTTTTTATATTTAAACAAAGAAAAACAAAAAGGATCTGGTTCTCCTAAGGTCACCATTTGCTTTTTAATTTACTATTATAGACTACCGGTACTTGGTGTCTAACATAAAAACCTCATAAAGTACCTCAAGTTTGTTTTTTGTTTTTCTCTAAATATAAAAAGTTAATAAAAATCAAATCAGCATTAAACGTGGGGGTCCGAGTAGTTAGAAATGAGAATGAGAATTCATTTGTTAAAAGAAAGTTAAATATGTCAAGTTTAATTTGAAATCTTTTCAACAACTAAAAAATGTATTAATTTAACGACAAAAGATTTTTTATAAATTTCTACAAATTAGAGATTACTTGACCAAACATAAAGATTGAATATATCCTGTAGAAACCAAATTGTTTAGAAGAGATCCTAATGACAAACTTCAACACTACTAAAAAGGTCATTTCAAAGTTGTATAAAGCCCTGCAGATAGAAGTAGATTATAAATAGGATATAAAACAGAAATGGGAGAAAGAAGGAAACATATTAATATCAAAAAAAGGTGGGAGGAATCCTTCATATTGGGACATACAATGTTGAGTAGCGTTTCATGGCAAGAGTTTGAATGGAAATCAAAAATGCAATTCTTTATTGTACCAAGTATCTCATCGAAATACAGTAAAATGTCAGACAAGTGTTGGAGGAGCTGTGGCCAGAAAGGAGACTACAAACATATATTCTGGGATTGTCCCAAAATTAAAGAATATTGGAATGATGTAATGAAAAAGATTGAAACTGTTTGCAAAGAAAAATTGAACCTAGATTTACAAACATTCCTGCTGAGCATTTTACCCAATACATTGTTAAATAGAAAAAAGAAACTTATTCAAATACTGATTATGATAGCAAAGAAAATAATAATCTTCTGGCTAAAGCCACAACCCCCGAGCACTGACCTTTGGTGGGAAAGATTCAACGAAGTGATGGGAATGGAAAAAATAAAAGCAAAATTATAGTTTAAAAATAAATTGTTTCAAGAGACATTGGCACCTGTACTTATGGAGATAGAAAAACCTTAACTGCTCTGGAACTTTAACTGTAATCATTTTCATCTTTGGAATAGATAGGAATACAAAAGTGTGTATGGATTGACATAAAGTGTTCTCTCTAAACTTTTTATTTTTTTATTTTATTTGTTAATTATGTATTTGTCTTGGCTTCTGTAATTTTTTTGTTTGTATTTATAAATCAACACCTTTGGGAAAGGAAAATGTAAACAATTTATGAAATTCTGTAAAGAAATACCTTATTTTACCAAATAAAAAAAAAATAAAAAGAAAAAAAAGAAATGAGAAGGTATGTAACAATTTATTGTGGGGGAGTGATGGCCTAGTGGTTAGAGCAGTGCAATGGTGCTCTGAGAAGGTTGCAAGTACCCGGTTTGATCCCCACAGCCTGCACTGTGGATCCCTGAGCAAGAACCTTAACCCCACACTGCTCCCCGGGTGCCACACAATGGTAGCCCACTTCTCCCCAAGGGGATGAGTTAAATGCAGAGAGTTAATTTCTCCAGTGTGAGATCAATAAAATTCAATCAATTATTATAATTTTTTTAATGTCTTCTTTTCTACAATGGAGGAAGCTGAAAGAGGTCATATGTAAACTGATGTGGGATTGAATTAGGGTCAGATTCCTAGTATTATAAATCAGTTTAATGATAATAGAGCTGAACCATGTTGCTCTCTCACCTCCTGAAACAAGCCTCACTCCTCTTTTGGTCCATGACAGCTTCCTGAGGAAAGGAAACAACATCCTGGGTTTAGTTGATGTTTATCATTAAATTCGTCAGATTTAAAAGTATGTTTGATCACAACCGTTTGGACGAGATGTTCAAGCAGACAATTGGGGGGGAAGAAATCATTCACGTCTCAGAAGTAAACAAACTGTAGCAGCTACATTAGCATTCAGCTAATTGTGTTTAACCTTGCTCGGTTCGTTTGACTGGTTTGCACAATCTGATCCTTTTTGGTTGCATACACCTTCAGATTGAGATAATCAAATAATTCAAAGTAAATAACAAATCATACATTTTAACAAATATATTACAACCTTCACTGCACATCCGAGTCCTTGCCTCTTATTGAGGATAAACTCAGCTATGATGCAAACTCGAAAGCTAAACGCCAAAACTCGAGCAAACTAAACAAGAAAAGGGGGGAATGGAGAGTTTCTAAGACATAAGTTAAGCAGGGATTTGGAAGCACTCACTGTGTGAATATTCTCAGACCCTGTAGTGTAGGAAAACTCAGAATAACTGCAGCCATTGCTACCAGCTGGACCAGTGCTAGCGCTGCTAGCTAGCTGCCTGCCAGACTGAGGAGAGGAGCGGTGGGACAGCTGTATTTAAACCCCCCAAAATATTTAAAATCTGTTTCGTTTAACAATAAATGAAAATCTTCTTTTAAAACGGATGGGTTGTGTGGTCAAACCCCCTTAAAAACCACTGTGTATTTACTTTTTAACTTTCCCGAACTTTAAATATTGACAGACCTAATGAGCACCCGTAGCGTAGAATGGCCAATCAGAAAAATTAATGTGGAGGCGGAGAGGAAAGTGTAGTTACAAAATATCACCAGCCGGGGGCAGTGTTTCTCTTTTCAACTAATGGCAATGACAGTAAACCATTTTCTCTATATGGCAGCTTTAACTCCCAGTGATGGACATCAGGGTCACTGAGATTTTGTTCATTTTTTTTTTTAAACATAGATTAATTGACACAGAGGAGACCCTGATTTTTATTTTTCAACAAAACAGAATCAAAAATGAAGGCATAGAAATTGCAACTAAATAAACAGCCTTATGATAAAAGAAAAAGGGTCTTTAATCTGTTTATTCTGGTCTGCGAGAAACCTAGCTGAAGCTGTTGCCGATATGTGTGTTACTCCTGACCTGTGGTTTCTATTTTATTCTTAATCCATTTAAATTCATTACAAAACTCTTATTCTCGCTTTATTTTTCATAAAGACTAGAACTCATGTAGCCTATTGGTAAACAAGGGGTACATGGGAATGTTTTAGATCAAATGTTAGAATGGCCTAGTCAAAGTCTAGACTTATATCTAACTAATTGAAGCAAGAACAGAAAACCACAAATTTCAATCTCTAAATATGAAAGCTGTTAGAGACATGGCCCAAAATTCTCCCAGGTTGCAGACAAAATGGTTTTGTTTTAGTAATGAATCCAAAAGGCAGAAGAAAATGGGTAAGCAATATTCATTTTTAGTGTTTTAATTCATAAAAATATATGTATGCAGATTTCTTTGTTTACTATCACATTTAATCACAATGAAAAACTGCAATTTTGCCACATTTCAGAGGGATATAAATGGTTTTGCAAAGCCCTCTATTTATTTGGTTTAATTGTTTGTTTTTTTAACACAATGTTTCTTTCTGAGAGTGTGATCAGAGTCTTTCATATGTTGGTGGGTGGCGATCTCTGATGATCAGGAAGCTTAGCACAGCACTCAAAATGAATCCCAGTACTATGGACCCAATGATGATGGGTATTGCTCTCCGGTTGAAATCAGCCCAACATTCATCCTCTGTAATATAAGAAAGAACATTCAAGACATTGATTTGTAAAATACACATTTCATAATCATTTTTTTCTCTGCAGTTTCTAGTGAGCTTTTCTGATGTAAAAAAAAAAAAAAAGAGAGAGAGAGAAATCAGAGCATCTTCTACTTTTATGTGTTTTATTACCTTGGCAACACAAGAATAAAAACATTTTGAAGGATTTTTTTGTGGGGAAAAATTAATGGGCTCTCCAATTTAAACTAATATTAAGTAGAACAACTAGTCATTTTTGGGAGCAGTCTAACAACATGGCACATCCTGCAATTTAAGATTGCTGGGGTGTCTCTTCTTTTCAGATCATCACACAGACTTTCAATGAGATTCAAGTCTCAAACATTTTCCAACCATCTTAATTTTTCTGTCAAAATCATTTGTTTTTTTTTTTATTTCTTTACTTGCTACTTTAAAGGTAAGCTTTGGGTCTTTGTTGTGCTGAAAGATGAAGTTTCTCCTCCTTCTTGCAGAAGCATGAAGGATACAAATACAGGAAACACAATGCTGCAATACACCAAGATTCCTAGCTTTATCATTTAATGATGCTTTTTTCTCCAAAGTTTTGTGAGACTTTAAATATACAGACACTTTAAATATATATCTTTTTAAGTTTAACAATAAACTAGATGTTTTCTTTTCCAGGAGTCTGATATTTGTGTTTCTTTTGTGTTTCCAGACTTCTTCATTATGTTCTAACTGATCTTGTCATATTCTGTCGTTGACTTTAACTTTAGAGTTTTGCCATTTTGGCTCATTTATTTGTGTTGAGTTTCAGATTTTGGTTTTGTCTTCTGTTTTTTGTAAGTTTGGATTTTTTTTCCCTAAGATCTCTGTTTACAGTTTTCTTCAGAGGGTTTCATTGTGCATCACTCAGCTCCCCTACTTTCCTTATGCCACAGATGCTCCCCATTTGTTCCAATTAGCTAATCTGGGTATCTTTTTAGATCATACGTGCCTAAACTCATGTTTTATCTTATTGTTCTCTGCTGAATTCTTCAGTTTAAAGGCTCAGTATTCCATTGCTCAGTTCCACAGCCTGTTGGTCACCTGTGCACCATGACCTGTTGGTCTAACATCTCCTTTTGTTTTCTTATCATTTTTTTTTTATTATTTCAAAATCTGTTTTGACACACTGAGTTTGTGTCCTTTTAAACCTCAACAGGAAATTAAATGTTTTTAAAGTGCTCTTCGGTCAGCACTTTCTAAATCCCTGCAGTTCCTTTATTTACCCAGTTTTCTTTTCATCTGTTCATATGATTTGGAGGAACAGCTCGTTCTGGGTAATATCAATGTTAAATTAAAGGAAGGTAGACCCTAATCCCTACAGTTTTTAATAAGGTCTACCCAAACCATGATTCTGGGTTTATTTTTTTTTGTCCTAAATAATTCTGGGTTCACTTTATAGAGTTTAATGTTCAAATTAATATTGGAAATTTTCAGAAATTATCTTTCTTGATCTTGTTTTCTTACATTATATGAACCTTAAATTACATTACATTTCCCGTTCACTAGGTCTCAGATTTATTCGCAACTCCTACCCTTTCCAAACTGTCCATTAGGGACACCAAAGGCCTGCATCTGCAGAGGAACCAACTTGATCTGCAGCTCGGAAGAGACAGAAAGGAGCAACTCCGATGTGCACTTGAAGCTCCGATCAACTTCTGCTTTGAAAAGCCTCTTTTGAGATAGAAACCCAGAATATGTTTTATCTGTACAGAAAAGAAAAGACAAAAACAATCCCTGAGTTTTGATCATATTGCTGAAGATAAATTATACTGTGTAATCTATTTGTGCTCTTACTGGGGCATCCTTTGCAAACAGGAAGGGGGGACAATTGAGCCGCTAGTTTGGTGACATAGAAATTATCTTCATCCTGTTGAAAAAAATAAACCTAAACGTGAAATTTTACAGGGATAAAATATTAAACGTGGAGAAATTCACTGTATATGTTGTGGGGAAAAAAAACACTCCAAGCATCCAGTAGAACCAGTTTGTGTTTTATTACCTTTCTGAAGGTAAACTCCAGACTTCCCGAATTATCCGGCAGCATGAGATAAAGAAGGGCTTCTTCTTTGCCGCACTTACCACTCAGTGTAACTCTGGATGGATCAAGGTTGAAATACCAGTTTATCTAAATACACAAGAGGAGGAAAACATTTAATCACCTTTAATTTATATGTGATGTAGCACAAGTGCTTAAAAAGGAGTACCGGTATATGCATCATAAAGTTGAAAGGAAAACCAGCTTAGCATCTCAAGATTTATTCCAAACACATATTTTGTGCAAAAGCAAAGAATGAACACACACATACAGATTGGTGATCAGTATTCTGAGCTTCTGACCTTGTTTTCCATAACCACATACTCTGCTCCCATCGTGACTTTGATGCACGGCCTTCCATCAAAGTCTCGCAGCATGTAGCTTCCTGACAAACACAACAAATGCAAGCTGTGCACAGAGTCTCTCATTGGTTATACCACATTAGTTATGCAAACTCTATAATGTGTATCTACCTGAGCTGTTTTTATACCTGGCCCTTTTTTAAGCTGTACATTATTTGTGCTGATTTGTTAATTAGTATGATTAATGATTACAATAAAATAGCTCAATTATGCAGTGATGATGTCATCTAAAAATGAATATCAGTCTAATTTAATTTTCTTCTGCTATGAATGTGTCAGATGTGTATGGAAAGCTGCTTCACTGCTGTGTCTATTGGCAATATCTGCTTTACTTAGATTGCTTTTAATGGGTCCCTAGGAAAATACTCCTGCTGCAAAAATTCCTCCTATTAGAACCTTATAGGAATAGCTCTGATAGGGGAGCCTGGGGACTTTATCTGTTCATTTGGGGTTTTTTTTAGAAAGACATTCAGACATTTTTTGCTTTTAAAAAGCAGAGTGTTGGATAGCACATCATGGGAGCTTGGACCTCTGGACTTGAAAGTCCTGTTTGAGGATTTAAACTTGAGGAGAAAGCTCAACAAACATTCGTTGATCATCTTCTTGGACTTAGACAGCTTCTAAATTTAGTTTTGTACAGATTTCATGATATTTCTATTTCTTTAAAGTGAAGCAGTGATCAAATTTAAACATTGGTAGAAAAAACATGTTGCAAAAGAATGCACTGATATGGAAGTTCCGAGCATTAATTTTATATGGTGCAATTATGCAGTGTTTTGGTTTGGGGTTGTCACTGTGATGCAGAATCTGTGACATGATTAAGAGTTTTCTCAACATTCAGCACTCTGATGGCGGTGGGAAATAAACTGTTTTGGAATCTGCTGGACCTGCATCAAATGCTGCGAATTCTATTCCCAGTGGGCAGCAGGGAGAACAGTCCATGAGGGGGGGTTTGAGGGGTCATTGTCATTGATGATGTTAAATGCCACTTCTTAAGTTTGTCCATTCAAGATTTCTTTTCAAAAGACATTAAGACAATATTTTCTATGGCAAATTTTCTTCTTAAAGACCTTTTACGGTTTTCTTCTTAAGAGGCTGCACATTGGTTCCAGGTACGATTCCTTTCTGCATGGAGTTTGAATGTTCTCCCTGTGCATTCGTGGATTTTCTCCAGTTACTCCGGCTTTCTCCCACAGTCCAAAAACATGAATGTGGTTCTTTTTTAGAAATGTCCTGATGTTTTGACCTTATCTCATGTAGAAAGTTTTGATGGTTCCTAAACTCATAACTACGCCACTGTATACATGCAGTCTGGCTGTAAAATGTATTGTGTGTTTGTCATAATTCAGGTGCTCACCAGGTGTGGGAAGGGTCTCATTGTGTTGAAGAACAGGCCGGTAAAACCGAGTCTCAGGGTCCAACCGGGGCAGAATGGAGATACCGTTCCTCTGTAGGTGGAAACCTGATAAAGAAGAATCCTGGTCACTTCTGAAGTTTGTTTTTCAATTTTTACTAAGCAAGTTTATGAATTTGAAACTGCAGCTGGGAAAGTGGGACAAAATGTTAGGGTTTCAATTTGACAGGATTATTGATTTCTTTGTAGTTTTTCAGTATTTTTTTTTTTTTATAAAATTTTAACCATAAAAACTTCAGTAAGAGCACCCTTACTCTTCACTTTTAAATAATATGTGCATAAAATTGGAGAAACATCAATGCATCCATTGTTAAAAGCAGAGATCAGGATACTAAGGCTTGAATTGTAGTGAGACCCATGGACCACAAGAACTGTACTAAATTCGTGATGGCCACGGATGGTTTTGGGGTTTTCATACATTTTTGGGCAAGATTTTTATCAATGTAAGACCTTTAAAAAATCAGATAAAACCAAACATTCTTAAGTTGGAAAATGAACAATATATCATTTTATTAATTCTTTCCTTAACTGACAATAAATAGGACCAGAGCCACACAGTCAGCACCAAGTGGCACTAAATACATCTATCTCAATGGAGCCACATTGTTGTTGCTTAGAAGTGACTGAAACTCTTCTTATCACAAAGACAATTGAAAAACAATGGTTTAAAAAAAACTGCAGATTTTGTTATCTTCTAAATTCTCTATCATATTCACACCATCTGTGGCTGAAACCCACAGTGTGAGAGAACAAAACTGCAGCACCACCAGAGACCTCTAAAGCAATGATTACTGCCTGGAAGAGGAAACCACCAGCATGAACATTTATATCATATCAGCAAAGTCAGGAGTTATGTTAGTCTATAGAGATATGTTCAACACTCAGTTAAACGTGCATATTCTATAAGACATTAGTTTGATTAGCTGATTTTCACAGAAATTAGTTTATGTAAAAAAATCTGACATTTGACTTTTCAGTGATCACTGCTGCCTTTATATTAAAATATTCAAAAATCAATAGAGGACCAACAAAAAGTGACCTGTTTACTAATTTTATACAAATAATGTGTGTAAAAAACAATGTCAAAGTATAGCTGAAATTACCTGGAACGAAAGCAGTTAGGAGGAAAACAACCAGTCCGTTCGTACGAGCCTTTAGCAGCATGGTATACGAAGAACAGCGAAGAGGTAGACGAAATGAATTCTCAAAGGAAGTGGAGCTGTGGTGTGATTCGTAAATATGAGAGCAGTTCAGCGTTGCTTACCCAGACATATGAAAAGAGGTGTCACCACGAACACTGAGACCACAGAGGCAACAACGGCTGTAAAGAATTCACAATGCATGATGGAAACTTTAACTCATCAAGTGGTCAGAAATAAATCACCTTAAACATTGCATGTGAATAATGCAGGATTTTATTTATTGTAAAAACACATAAAGATGATGGGTTATTCAGTAGATTTAACAGCATTCCTATAGAGGTGTCAGGCAATAAACTTCAGTTTATTGTGTTTTAAAAAGGTTTATTCTCCGCCTCCTCCTCAATGAGTTACATATGACTTAATGATGAGCATATACTGAAAGTGTTTTCCCATTCCATATTTCTGCTTTTTTGTAAAATTCAGAGGTTTCACATCATTAAGTAAAGTTTAAAATCCTAATTTCATTCATTTCAAAGAATAAAAACTATCTAAACACACCTGACCCCATGTGAAGATACATTCCTCCCTAAAACTTGGAGCTGGTGGTGTCATCGCTGGCTCCAACAAGGGAAATCAAGTGTTTGTTATAACTGGTACAATATGTTTTAGATGAGATAATCGACTGAAGGCGTCTTAATTTGTGAGATTCTACCATTTGAGCCCCAACAACATCAGAATATCTGCAGCTCTGTTTCTTGGAGAATTGGTGTAACTCAACCACCTTGGTTGATTGAAAAACTGAAGGAGCCTGGTGTAGGTGATCATATTTCAAAATTGGGTTTACAGTTACGACTAAATATTTACATATGAATAGAGGGCTATTATGTGAGACAAGAATAGAATAGAATAAAGCAGAATAGAATAGAATAGTACAGAAGAATATAGAATAGAACTATATAGAATACAACATAATGGAATAAAATAGGACAGAATAGTATAGAATAGAACTGAATAGAATATAACATAATGGAATTGAATAGAATAGAATATGGGAGGAGTTCAGTATTGCTTACCCAGGCATATGAAAAGAGGTGTCACCATGAGTGCTGAGACCACAGAGGCAACAACGGATGTAAAGAATTCACAATGCATGACTGAAACTTTAACTCATCAAGTGGTCAGAAATAAATCATCTTAAACATTGCATTGAATATAATATAAAATATAAAAGACAATAGAATTGAACAGAACAGAACATAATAGAAAAGAATAGAATACAATAGAAAATAATAGAATATAATATGATAGAATACAATACAATAGAATAGAATAGATTTGAACAGAATAGAATAGAACAGAACAGGACAGGACAGGACAGGACAGGACAGGACAGAATACAATAAAATAGAAAAGAACAGAATAGGACAGAATAGAATAGAACAGAACAGAACAGAACAGAATAGAATAGAATAGAATAGAATAGAATAGAATAGAATAGAATAGAATAGAATAGAATAGAATAGAATAGAATAGAATACAACAGGACATGACAGGATAGGATAGGTAGGTAAAAACATACATATATCAGCATTGTTGTAAACGGCTAGTGGGCCTCTTGAAAGCAGTGAAGAATTTACAGTCTAAGAGCAGCTGGGAGGAAGGATCTGCTGTAGAGCTTCTTTGTGCACCTAGGACAAAAAAGTCTATCAACAAAAGAGCTCCCTGTTTTTTAGCAGTGAATTAGAGGGACATATGTGGATATTTTTGGTTAAAGTGCACCTTAAACATAAAGCTTCGTTGTACTCCCTGTCTGCCCCTTCTAATAGTTTTTCCTCAGTCAGGGGTAACCAGTTTATTAGTAGATTCCATTCACCAGTGTCTCTGCATTTAGCCTATAGCCTACACCTGTTATCTGCTCTATTTAAGCCCTCAGTTGTTTTCATTTATCCATAGATTCTTCGTTTTCTTCCTAACTTTATACTTGGTTTCTATGCTGTAAGTGTTTTGTTTATATTCTTTATTAAAGTTTTCAGTTCACCATGCTGAGTGTATGTTTAATCTTGTTGTAGAAAATGGAACTTTGATAGCCTGACATGATAGAAAACTCTTAACCAATCAGACAAAGACTGTGGACCTGTCTCGGTCATCATTAGAAGAACTTTTCAAATGCCTGAAGGAGCTACGCTGATCTGTCAAAGATATGTTTGCAAGTGTAAACAGCAAGAGAAGGCTGGCTTAGATTGTTAAAGAGAGTGGTTATGCACAGGAAGATGATTCCAGTGCCAATGTGGACACAAAGGGCACTCAGTAAGGAAGAAGCTGTTTTTTAATAAATATAGAATCTGTCATTCTCCTTAAAAAATATAAAGGAATGGAACCCCTGCTCTAAACTGACCCCTTCAGGCCCAGCTGAAAATTTCAGCTTTCTACAAACAACAACCCTGCTGAAGAAGATCAAGGTAACTGTCGAACATGATGGTACCATTATCATGCTCTTAGATGGTAAAACTAATGGTAATGCAAAATGGAAGGCATTTAACTGCCTTGACATTCTTTAAAAATGATTGTTAACTATCTTATCATTGCTAACTTTAACTGGATGGGACAATTATCTTAAAGTGACTTTAAAATTAGCTTTGACAGATTGTTTTTAAATGATCTCCCAAATGGATAGTTTTGAAAAGAGTGCAAAAAGTGTTAAATTGAGCCAGAATTATACAAAAAAGTTGTTGTTGGATGCAATAAATGGACAATAAATGCAACTTTCTGAGAATGTTTGAGTTACAATGCACAATGTAAAACCTGAATATGTAATATTGACCAAAGGTGGACTGGAGAGAAAATGCTTAATGAATTAAGACATAGATATCACTTTCTTGCTTGTGGAGATCAGTAAAGTTGTATAACTGTTCAAACCTGAACAACTCAGGGTTCATTAAATCTGTTCTTTGTTACTTCTGAAAAAAGGTCTATAAATAAGACACTTTCTAAACCATAGTTACAAATACAGTAAAAATAAGAAAATAAAAAGAAATTGACTACCAGATTTTGTTTTAATTTTACACTTTGGAATCAGAAATAAAAAAAGTTTTTAAGTTTAAATAATGTTTTACATATATGAAGAATTTGTTTAGGTGATACAGCAGCACACAAAGACCAACAAAAATACAGCTGAGATTAAAACTTGAGGATATATAATCTGGAATAAACAAATGCAAGTTGTTTAGGAATGATGGAACTTTCTATATTTCACATCTCTAAATGGGGCTGAGGTGACTTATTAACCATAAACAAGCAAACACAGGTGCAGATCCACAGAGCAGGTTTCATAATTTGTTGATCTTGATGGATGCTGTTGAATCTGAGCTCACTTTAGCTTGTTTTTTGGGGAAATCTGAGTGGCCGAGGTTAAAGGTCCACCGGGACAAAGTCCCACATCAAACATACTGTAGACACAAAAACACAATGAACATGTTAAAAGTGACCTGTAAACACAAATGTTACAGTCAATGTGGTTAAAGTTAGTTTATTTCTTTGTGGCTCTTTGTGTTTATCTGATTCTGAGGATAATTAGAAGTTTGTATGTTTTATTTTTTTAATCTCTCTGCCTCTGAAACAGACTGATGTATTGACTCAACATGTGGGAGGGCAAACCGAAAAGCAAACATTTACTCCTCTTTTACCAGCTGTGCATGGTGGGTATTGTCCTATGTGTGTGTGTGTGTGTGTGTTTGTGTCCTTTCTGCCCTTCAGTCCACCGTACATTTGTTATCATCTTTCTCAGGAATTCCAGCTACAGTTAGAGAACTTTGCTCAGTCATCTGAACAAGAGAAAGAGGAGTCAGGATTTTCCTCTTCTAGACCAACAGGCCTCCATCTTCACTAACTGTAAGCCTGAATTCAATAGGAAAAGCTTGTTTTCTACTGTATATAAGAAATGTTTAGATTCCTTGTAGGATTAGGATGTAAACAGTCTTATAATTTGTTTGATTTTATTTGTTCTATGATGTGCAGTAAGAGAGAAGTAAGGCAGCCACCGACTTGAATGATGAGGAGCGGAGTGGTGCTGTTTGTTCTGGGTCTGCTGTGCTTCTGCAGCTCCGTTTTTGGGCAGGTAAGAACCACACTGGGTTAAAAAAAACACACACGAGAACTTTATAAAGACAGAGAACATGATTGTTCATCTCTAGCACACTTTGAAAACAAAAAACAATGCATTTTTACTGAGTTTCTAACAAATTCTTTTAATTGCTGGCAAATGTCTGAGCTGTTGGAAGAATTATGTTGATTTTAATTCTTCTAGCTGTAGTTCATCTGATTACCATATCAATGTCCAGTTAACTTTGTTTAGATAAGAGACCAAACTCTAATCTAAGTCGTCTCTGAGCTCTGATCAGTGACCCTAAAAAGCACCTTGGAGTTCTCTCTCCACGCTCCAATCTGCACATCTCACTTCACCTAAGCAGAAAAAGTGAAGTCAAATAATAATCATAATTAATTTAACATTTTTCTTATTCTAAATAAGAAAAATAAACATTTTTAAGTGCATACTAATGAAAAACTTTCTTTTATTTTTATTTTTTTTAATAAGATGCAGTAAAATGCATCAGAACCACTCAGTGAAAATATTCTAAAATTTAGGCAAAAAGAAAAAGAAATCCGACAAAAAACCGATTGATCAAAATCACAAAATATTTAATCGCAAAGCAATCATAGGGAAGGCATTACTTTGTTAAAGTAGCATAACTTCTTAGGTGTCACATTTCTAATGACGCCGGCCCGGCCTGAGGCATGAATAACATTTATGAGTAATTCAATTTTCACAAAAAAAAAAAAAATGTGCAGCTTGAAAAGATATAATAGAAAAGGGTAGAATTACGTTAATTACCAAGGAACAGAAAATATTGATAAATATAAAGATAATGATTAAATTAAACAGTTTATTTGGGGTGTTTATTAATAAATGATTTACAGTTGCTGATGTATTTGTGAAGCAAAATCCATTCTATAGTTTGCTTGCTTGTCAGCTGATAAATGGGTAAAATGTCAAAGTCAAAATGGTTCCTGGGGTGAATGGTTGGTTCAACTGAAACTGGAGCCTACGAATAAAATTCTGCTTAGGACCACATATAACCATGGGACAGTTCTGATTGTCTGTTATTAAAGCAAATCATAATTAAAGCACAAATGAGGTGAAAAGAAGTGTGGAGTGATTAAACTACAATAAATTATATTGATTATGATTCACTAATCTCACAAATCTAAAGAACAATATTTAAGGTTGAACTCTTTACTTTCCCGAACCTAAATGTGAGGAGGCAGGATCACATCAGAAGTAATTTAATAAAAACCAAAGTAGACTTAAAAAACTTTTAAAGAATTTGAGATTCCTTTAAAATCTCCACAACGATAATAACTAATTCAGATGGAAAACATTAATGAGAACTCTTCATTCATGAAATTATAAATGAAATTAGTAAGTAATGAATTCAGTGTAAATTATGAAATGAACGATCAAAATATTTTTAATTAATTAATTAGAAGCGTATTTATGACTTAATTCTGGATCTAATGGCTAGTTTTCATCTGTGAGGAAAAATTTTTAAAAGATTATCTTTGAGTCTCTAGAGCAGTGATTCCCAACCAAGGGTACTCGTACCTCTAGTTGTCCATGAGAGCATTACAAGGGGTACATGAAAATATTTTATTTATTAGGTACTAAAATAAAACAGGGCAGGGATCTGTTTTGCTATTTAAGAGCCCAATGGAAAAATTAAACAAGATTTTATCAACAAAAAAGTAAGTTTTTCTTCTATTTTTGAGTTCATCCTGAGCTGTGACACACATCAAAACCAAGCAGAGGAACAGACTACAAGAAAAGAACAGCCTGGGATCAGCTGTTTTTCACACTGAGCTATCGGAGCTCATCAAAGCAGCTCAGGTGTCTTGATGAAAACAAAGTAAAATTAATTAAGTTAGTCTGACAATAATTTTTGTTCTGTATTTTGTTCTGAATTCATCAAGTTTAAATGGAATTACTGAGAGGAGCTCAAGTTTTATAGATACATGTTTATAACAGGATTTTTTCTCATATTTATTAAGATTCCTCACCAACTTTCAGGCAACACATTTATGTTGTTTTTTATTTTAGATGGAAATAATTAAATGTGCAAATTAAAAGATTAGGTTAAATAGTTTTTATTTTATAATCATCAATGATTTTGACTGAGGGGGTTACCCATGGTAAGACAAAATACCCAAAGGGGTACACAAGTCAAAAAAGGTTTGGAAACACTGCTTTAACGACCCATTACATTATCCACTTTCAAGTATTTCAACCATCATTAGGAAGAACGAAGTGCCTTACTTTTTAAGGATCATGTGGTCTCACCTCTCAAGGGACCCGCAGGATTTTAGCAGGCAGGTGGTTTATAAGCCTACTTTATACTTTGTGTGACTTTTAATATTCACTTCAACTTGATGCAGCAAAGCCATCAGAGAAACATGATCTGTCCTCTTTGAGTTTGATGCCAGCTCTCTGTTTCTTTTGATTTGTCCAGGATGCTGAGGGGACTGAGCAGGGTGTTCAGGTCTTCTGTGATGACATGCACGTGCAAAAGGCTGCCCACAGCGCCTTGCACAAGTTCAACGACAAGTTGACCACTGGATACAAGCTGGCTCTCTTTCAGATCACATCCGCCAGAAAGGTACAGCTCCTAAAAAAAAAGTACAACTTTCTGTAGAAGTGCAAAGAAATCATTATCTTGTTGTTAAAGGTACAGTGGAGGGTTTTCTTTTTACGGGTGGATCATAAAAATAAGTGGTTTTCCTAATTGTCAATCATTCTGGTGATATCTTTATGTAAGGCCATCCTACGTGCTAGTCCCCATTTTCACTTACCAGTGGTGAGTCTGACATAGTGAACATAGTTTTTTTTTGGAAAGTAAGCTTGTATAAGCAATGCAAACAGCAACTTTTCAACAGAGTGCACGAGGAGAAATAGGCTCCTGCATGCTCTCTCACACATTTAACAGGCGTTTGGCCCTCTCTGGAGTGGGTACAGGGTTGTGCATGTGCATTTCTTTTTTTCTTTTATTTCTTTTTTTTTTTTAAGTGGAGAGGGCGGGCCTTTTCAAAAATTCGTAAAAATCGTCCACTATACCTTTAAAGCAGCACTGTTGACATAAGTCTAAGATGAATTTTAGATAAAATGAATATTTCAGGTCAATAACTTTTAGTGGTGTAAAAAATCAGAAGTTACAGATCCAATTTTCTTATTGGCTGAAAGTTACAGTGTCGCTTTAACTTAAAATTTTGCATCAACTGCATTTATTGTTTAGGAATAGTGAAACATTAAGTACTTAAAAAATTAGGAGTTTTTTTTTTTTGTCTTTAGGCAATTAAGAAATTCTTGTTGAGACACTCTGCTCAGAAAGCCCAAATATAAAACACAGACTAAATTATAAAGTGTCTGGTGTGAATGACAACCTTAAAAGACTTTAGGAAGTCATTAAAAGGTAAGATAATAAAAAAAATTATATAAACTTTATAATGCTCGCCATTAGGAAAACTGGAGCATTTAGATCACCTGAAAAACACACAGGGATTTAACATGATGCATTTTCTTAAAGTGCAACTTATGCAAGAGCAGCCTATGATCGGACATTGGTCATGAAATGGACAAACAGCTCCTGGTCCGGGTGGATGGGATCTGTGGCAATATGTCTGTCCTTCTTCTGGACTCCTGTAGCATGTCATGGTGGGTTTCAGTAAAGCCCAGTATGCAGAACACCACGGAAACAGATGAAAGGTTTAACAAAGTTTATTGAGCACATGCACATGGA